ACTCCTACTGGACTCCCGGATTCCTACTGGATTCCTACCGGACTGGACTAGGACTGGGACAATTTTTATGTTGGCTGATCACCATACAAATTTTGTGTCCCAGTCCTAGTGGAGTCCTAGTAAATTCCTACTGGAATGGTCCCAAATCACAAGGAATTGCGGATTCCTAAGGAATGGGTATAGTGGAGTCCAGTAGGATTAGTCCAGTAGGAATCCAGTAGGAGTCCAGTAGGAGTCCAGTAGGAATTTCCGAGCACTAGGAGTCCAGTAGGACCAGTAGTTTGTCACTGTTGTTGTTATTATATAATATTTAAAAAAAAGCGCAACCAGGAGAATTGAACCCTCGACATTATGGACACAGTAGCATATTACAGACACGAGCACTCTACCACTTACACTACAATGGCTTTATTATAGACATAAATTATATGCCCTACATACCAACCGGCTGACCTCTTCCCAGAAAGGACGCCGGCAAATTCCGCGAGTGGGAAATTTGCACAACCCATCGAAAACCTCTCTCTTCCCACCACCACCCACACCCATGCCGCCTCGTCACCACCACCACCACCAGTCGCCGCCACCACTCACAACCGCCCATAGCCGCCACCGTACGCCATCCACGACGCCCACTGACCAACGCCACGTCACCACGATCACCCGTGGCCACCACCAGCATCAAGAACGACGCGAGAACGCCACGTCACAAACAAACGAGCCGCCGGCGAGTCCGAGGCAATGAAAACGGACGACGAGGGACAACCGAGAGGGTGCCACGTTGCTATCAGCGACGTGGCAACCAAACGACGAACGACGACGACGTCATCGTTCGTCGTCATACAAAAGTGAGTGCGCCCCCCCTCTTCCATCCCAACCCACCCCGTTAACGACAACGACGACAGCCGACGACGACAACCACCGACGACGATGCCCGCCCATGACGACGACTGCCAACGAGGATGCCCGACCACGATGACGACCGCCCACAACGACGACCGCCCATCCGACCCCGTTAACGACACCCATCACACGACGACCACGACACAAAGACCACGAGCGCCCACCACGTCGACCACCCACCAATACACGACAACGCCGACACGAAGACACCGAGAGCCCACGCCGAAAGACGACGAGCGCCCACCAAAAGACGACGAGTGCCCACCATTACACGACGACGACGACACGAAGACGTCGAGCGCCCAAGCCGCTGAGTGCCCATGATGGCAACTTGGTGGTTACACTTTTATCATTAAACCAGGGACTTTGCTGTAGAGCTGTGTGTATAAGTCCACAAGTTATGAAGGCCTTTCATAGGTGTGTCCTGTGTCTTTCTTTCTCATAAAGGCTATGTTCTTTTCATAAAATGTAGGCAAAGACCACAGGACCCTTTCATAACATTTCTTAGGAGCTTTCATAAAAGCTTTCATAATTATTATCATGCGCTTTCTATGAATATTTCATTGAAGCTGTTCAGTTCTTTCATTGTACTTTTCATAATTAAACCTGTGTGCTTTCAATAGGTATTTCATTCACTGGGTTAGGTGTATTCATTGCCTTTTTCATAATTAATGGTGTGCACTTTCATTGAATATTTCATTAGGAATTTTCGGTGCTTTCATTGCTTTTTTCATAATCAATCCAGTGTAATTTCAATAAATATTTCATTGACTATGTCAGGTGTATTCATTGCCTCTATCATATTTAATGGTGTGCGCTTTCATTGAATATTTCATTAGGAATATTGGATGTTTTCATTGTACTTTTCATAAGTAATGTTGTGTGATTTCAATAAATATTTCATTCTCTAGGTCAGGTGTATTCATTGCCTCTTTCATAATTAATGCTGTGTGCTTTCATTGTATATTTCATTAGGAATTTCAACCATTTTCATTCCCCTTTCATTAATTAATGCTGTGCACTTTCATTAAATATTTCATTATCAATTCTGGGTGCATTCATTGTGCATTTCAATAAATATTTCATTGGCTAGGTTATATGCATCCATTGCTTCTTTCATAATTAATGATGTGCACTTTGATTGAATGTTCCACAGCTTTCATTGGGATTTTTCATTGAGTATCTCTCAATATTTCATTCCAATTTCATATCTACCCCCAGGGCTATCATTATGATTTTTCATTATATTCCATGATAGCAATAAAATAGCTATTATGGTCCGATGGTTAGTAGTGTCTGCTTTTTCAGACTACAATGGTTTGTAGTGTCCACTTTTCATTACAAAAGTTAATAGTGTCTGCTTTTTCAGACTACAATGGTCTGTAGTGTCTGCTTTTTCAGACTACAGTAGTTTGTAGTGTCCACTTTTCTGACATATAGTTTGTAGTGTGGTTGACTATGTATGTATAGGTCATTGGGGATATGGTTGAAGGATTGGGATGAGTTGACATTCTGCCACTTATGAATAGTTGCTTGTGATGTCAGGTCCATGGCTGTTTTTCATACTTGCAATCTGTCCTGTCCTTTCACATGAGAAGCCACTATCCTATCTTTGATGTTGGTCAACCTTCCACTCAGATCAGTATCTGCTGTCCTATGTCTGACCACAGTCAATCTTCACATGATTTTTTTGGAGGGATAAATTCTCTGTCCTACCAGAGCAACTTGTCATGTCTTTTCAATACTAAGACCAGTT